ACAACCCCGTTTATAGAAATCCTCTACGCCAGGAGCTCCTGAGAGCAGCAGTAGAAACAATGACATAAGGACAACAACGGTCTTCCCCTTCCTAATATTTCTGGTGTGTTCCTCCCTCTCTTTCCCCATCCCTTCAAAGACAAGCTGTGGTGTTGTTGAAAACCGGTGGCTTTGCTGCTCCCCTCCCAGCTCTCCAGACATGGTTGTGCCTGCGGAGCCGCCGCTATCAATCCTCTCTTTCCAGCTGCAAGCCTTGTGACTCAGATTCTCCAGAAAAACCCTTGGCTCAGCATCATAAGCAGGAGGGATTAAAACTCATGAAAAATGAGCTCGTACCAGCCCTTTTTATAAGTCTCTAACGGAGGGTCATACGAGCTGGTCAGACCCCCTGCCCTCCCTTTCTCCCCCCTTTCCCCTTCTCTGATCCTCCTGTTATTCTTGGCTGCAAACTGCTGGGTGTCCCAGCCGGGGCACTTGGATCGGGAGAGGATATCCCATTCAAAAGCCCAATTCCCAGTGTGGCCTTTTCCTGCTGGAAGCAGTTGTAAAATTTCTTTCTTTTTTTTTTTCCCTTCTTTTCTTGGTACAGTTCGCCTGACCTACATATTCCAGCGTGGTGTGACTTACGCTCTATCGCTGACCTACATTTTCAAACTGAAAAATAAAAACTCCGAGAAGACATGCTAGTAGATGCGCATGGGAAGCAGGAACCCAGCCCTGTGGGGAGATCTCCACGCAGTTGCCCAAAAGTAAGGCTGATTAAGCAGCTTTTTATTCCCCCCCTCATCCATTCGCCCCAGCTGTTTCTACTTAAGAACCAAAACAAAACACAGATCTCCTGCTAATTCAATTTCAGTTTGGGAGAGATTTTGAACAAATCATTCAGGCTGCTCTAGACTGTTCCCCTTTACCCACAGCTCATCCAAACGGAGAGGCTCAGCATCCCCAAAGGGATTTGAGCTCCTACCACTCCCCAGGAATTAGATGCTTGGCTGCTGGCAGGATCTGAACCCTCACGGGGTGGCAGAGCCCCCTGAAAAGCATCACTGTCTGCTGGGGAGCGGCTGGGGGAACTGGGGGGGTTCAGTCTGGAGAAGAGGAGGCTGAGGGGAGACCTCCTGGCCCTCTGCAACTCCCTGCCAGGAGGGGGCAGAGAGGGGGGATGAGTCTCTGGAGCCAAGGCCCCAGCGCCAGGCCCCGAGGGAATGGCCTCAAGCTGCCCAGGGCAGGGTCAGGCTGGCTCTGAGGAAGCATTTCTGTGCAGAAGGGGCTGTTGGGCGTTGGAATGGGCTGCCCAGGGCAGGGGGGAGTCCCCGGGATCCCTGGAGGGGTTGAAGAGCCGGGCTGAACCAGTGCTGAGGGATCTGGGGGAGTTGGGAAGGGTCAGGGGGAGGCTCATGGCTGGGCTGGAGGGGCTGCAAGGTCTTTTCCAACCGAGATGGTTCTGTCAAGAGCAGCAAGGAAATTCTGTAAGATACTAAACCCCTTTAGGATTTAGGGGAGGGGATGTCTGGTGCCTCCAGCTGTGTGATACAAGCAGGGAATCCTACCTTCTGGTATGTCTCTTTCCAGCATTATCTATTGTATCACCTATACGTACGGTCATCATCACCTGCAGTTCCTACACGGTATAATGGCACAGAAAGCCCCTGTTGTGCTACGCTGCCTAAACGCAGGAGCCGTGTTCCTGGCTGTTGGGGAACGTGTGCCAACGGGTAAATGTCATGTCTGGGATCCTGTGCTCTGAACCTAACCTCATATCCTTCAAGCGTAGTAAAGGCTGATTTATACCGCTGTAAAAGTGTGAAGAATTGGTTCGCTCATCTAAGGGCTGAAAATTTTAAGGAAACGTGGTAATTACAGTCAGCCTGGAAACACCGTGAAACAAACTTTCCTATGGCATTTTCGCATTTATGAAGCAAGTTTCCAGTTTATCAGTGCAAATGGCTCTAACCTCTCCGGGTTTAAAAACAGCTTCGTTTAGCAGAGCTTAGATCAGAGGTCTGCTATTTTACACCAAGTGCTGAGGTAACTGTAAAAACGGTAACTTTTTTTTTTTTTTTCAAACGCCAAAGTAACTCAGGTTTGCTCAGAGCTCTGAACAAAGCTTTGGGTTGATTTGACGTAAACCGGGTTAATTGAAATGGTCTAAGGCGCGAGTCTTTGCTGGTCTCTCTCCTTTAGCCGGAATGTGTTTGGAACTGGTCATGCTGACAGATAATCAGGCAGACCTGGGGGGCTGGCAGCCTTGGCAGGGGACTGAAGAGCAGCTGTGGAGAGGCTGGCGTAATGTCTTTAACAAGCAGGGCTGCAGCTACAAGAGAATGTGCGTACACAGCCTCAGGGCTGCAGTGTTTGAGTATCCAAATATGTAGATGGCAGCATTGCTATACATCTAGTTGGCCTCTTCAGATGACTAAATAATGTCAGAAAAGTGGTCTGGAGTAACTCCTGACATCCATAGGTAAGGTGCAAGTCATGCCTATTTCTGCAGACACCCAGTTAAGACTCTTCGGGAGGTGCTTGTGAGAGGGCAGAAGATGTCAAGTGTGGAGAAACTCCTGTGGCTTACAACACGGTAGCTTGTAGACTTCACCAAGAGGTCGCAGGGGAACTAAAAGCTTCAGCCAGAGAGTGATGCTACAGCCATGAGCTACTCTCACCAGGCTGAGGGATAGTCAAGACGGAGCCCACTTCTCTGGTTTTTGCCTTTTAGTACAGAGGAAAACTCAAAGTAATGCTTCTTCCTCAAAGCAGCAGCCACAGGCTCCCTCTCTGCCCAGCCAGGCTTAAACTGTCTGTCTGACAGACCTTAAATCTCAGCTCCTTCCTGATTCATGCATGAATCAGTTCCATGGTAGGAATATCCTAATCCTTTTTACAGTTTTCTGGGGCTGCCCATGCCCTTCCCTTCCTGGCTTCCCCAGGAACCCAGGTGGGTCTGTCCTTCTGCCCCCTCCTTGGGCTAAAGGTTAATGAAAGTGGCTTCATGACTCTGTGTGAAGACCTTTGGAGGACTTGGAGGGGTGCACACATGCTGCTTAGGCTAATGTGAGTCCCAGGTCTGCAGAATAAGCAAAGCCATGACATCGGAAAGATATAAAAGTGTCCTAACACCTTGCACTCCTCCTGTCTTTGCTCCCCTCCGGACTGTGCAGGGGTTTGTTGCGCAGCTGAAGTGAGCAGATAACATGAGGTGTGTGACAGCAGCTGCCTCTTGGCATCCGTGAATTCTTGGATGTTAGAAACAGGCAACCACTATGCAGTGATGCCATCCTTTACACTCCTCTGCACTGCCAGTCAGAGAGGGACCTGGGGGTGTTGATTGACAGCCGTCTGAACAGGAGCCAGCAGTGTGCCCAGGGACCAAGAAGGCCAAAGGCATCCTGGCTTGTGTCAGCACTGGTGTGGCCAGCAGGGACAGGGAAGGGATCTGAGCCCTGGGCTCGGCACTGGGGAGGCCGCCCCTCGCTGAGTGGGTTCAGTTTTGGGCTCCTCACCCCAAAAAGGCCTTTGAATGACTCGAGCGTGGCCAGAGAAGGGCAACGGAGCTGGGGCAGGGTCTGGAGCACAGGTCTGCTGGGGAGCGGCTGGGGGAACTGGGGGGGTTCAGTCTGGAGAAGAGGAGGCTGAGGGGAGACCTCCTGGCCCTCTGCAACTCCCTGCCAGGAGGGGGCAGAGAGGGGGGATGAGTCTCTGGAGCCAAGGCCCCAGCGCCAGGCCCCGAGGGAATGGCCTCAAGCTGCCCAGGGCAGGGTCAGGCTGGCTCTGAGGAAGGATTTCTGTGCAGAAGGGGCTGTTGGGTGTTGGAATGGGCTGCCCAGGGCAGGGGGGAGTCCCCGGGATCCCTGGAGGGGTTGAAGAGTCGGGCTGAGCCAGCGCTGAGGGATCTGGGGGAGTTGGGAACGGTCAGGGTGAGGGTCATGGTTGGAGTAGATGATCTTCAAGGTCCTTTCCAACCAAGATGATTCTGTGATCTCGGTTGGATTCTTTTGGTTTGGTCAGTGCTGGGTATTTCCCCACCAGGAAGGAGCTCCTGGGGGTCTAACCAGCAGCTGGAAAAGAAATTGAGAGTTTGTTAGCACAGGATGCAAAGCAAAGAATTACATCCGCAACAGTGGTAGCAGAGATGTAAGAAAAACTACTGACTTTAGGCTTCTCATCCTGCAAGGGGTTCAAGATCGACCCTGTAAAAAGTGTGTCTCTACAAACACTCCGTTTTTTGACAACAGCAAGACACAAGAACTCAAATTCATTTCTTGTCAGCTCTCAGACAAGGTATTTCTATCTTTCTTTCTGTTTTCCCAGCTCTGGAAGGAGTGAGCTTGCCGAGAAGATACAGACTCAGGGCTGCAGCGTAGGTGAGAATGGCCTGAAGCAAACTGCATGACTTCAGTTTGCATTTCTATCTGGGGAGGTGAGGTGAAGTCTCCTCATGTTGCTGCAGAGAGATCAGCAGGTGCGCAAAGTGTTTATTAACAGCCACCTTAAACAATTTCGACATTTTTCCTTTATAAGGCAACAATACTGAACCCCCCTGGGTCTAATATTTCTCATTAGCATGACAATTAGCTAAAAAAAATGCGTATATACTTTTTGTCTGCTGGCAGGTGGAATAACAGGTTGAAAGAGTAGCTGATGGGGTGATGCCTAAATGCCGTGCAAACCAAATTTTCCTTGGAAGTGAATTCAGGCTTTTATGCATTAAGTTTTTCAGTCCTGTCCTATAGGAAACAGGCTAACCCCATTTCAGGGCGAGTGGGACAGTAAGGTGGTGAAAGGATGTTCCCAGGAAAGATACTAGTGCCCAGCGAAACTGGGAGCAGGGTGGGGAACCCAGCTGGGAAGTAAGTCTTTGGACTAGACCTCAGCGGTCCTCTGTTTGCCTAAAGGAGCTTGGAGGAAGATCTGGCTCTTCCATATTGTGTGTAAATTCAGTAATTGGCAGCTTGTTTGGGAGTTGAAGGGATTTCTTGGTGCCGGTGGAGTGACTACGTGGTATTTCATATTTTCGAAACCATTACCCATCCTCTTTGCACTCAGGATTTGTAATGTGTATTGCATTGTTTACAGCTCATCACTCAAAAGAGAGCAAGTCTCTCAGGGAATGCAAGTAAAGGGGGAAGGAAAGAGGAGAACAGTGTAAATAACTAAATATCTTCTTACTCCCGCTATCTAGAAGGCTAATCCTGATCTACTTGGGGTAGGGATCCCTCTGAGCCAGGGGGAGTTTTGCTTCTGCAAAGAAAACTGAGTTCAGATCTTCGATTTTGTGTAAATAAATATATGGGGGAACTTCCATAGTCAGCAGTAGCAGGCATTGTGGAGCTGAGCAATTTTCTTTGTTAGGAAGATAATATCTAAATGGTCTAATTATAGCTACAGTTGGCATACAAGGGAAATCCCCACCATTATTCTTAGTAGCTGCTGCTGCAAAGTTTCAGCGGGTAAACCACGACCTGCTTGTTAATTTATGTTTACTACGAGCCTGTCAAACTGCAGACTTCTCTGTTGGTGAAAGAAATCCTCCCTTGCTGACCCGTCCCTTCTCTGTCTTGTCTTGAGGAAGCTAGCCGTTTCCACGAGCACAGCTGAGGATCACAAAAATACTGATGATTTTGCTCATCCACTTGACAGACAGAAAGTCTTGAGAGCTTCCTGGCACACACGGATCTCTGGGCCATGTGTATGATGACCCGCTCAATGCTTTCATCGAGCTTTTCTTGCCTTCCACAACTCCTCTTCCATGGGTGGGTCACTTCAGGGGTAATGCCTGGGAGTTTGCAAAGCTGGGTGAGCCACCTTACGGAGATGCCCAACTACATCTTGCCTTCTCATACAAAAGAGCGAGTAGAAGCTGGGCACGAGGGCAGCCAAGACGCTCTGTTAACCCTGGGAGAGGCTGTGGCTCCAGCTGGATGCCTAACTCTGCCGAAACTGTGACCCAGGAGGTGCAGCCCAGCACAGCTTCCTCATCTCCCACATCTGCACCAGCTCCTTCTGCTGCTCTTCAGGTGGATGTCTTGCTGCTTTTTCAATAAGACTTTTTTTTTTTTTTTTTCCCCCCCAAGAGCCTTTTGGTGGGTTTTTTTTTGGTTTCACGAGGCTTAGTTTCAGGTAGTTTGCAATTAGGGTCTCTTCAGCCGACTTCAGTGAGATGCTGTTCATGTCTGGAGGGTTAATTCTCTTCTTTCTCTTGCTGCTCCTGTTCAGTGTGTACCACGATGCTGGAATTAGAGCACTATAGGACCAGGTTGTGGCCTTCTCGTGCAATATATGTATAAAGAACAAGATACATATGGTAAATAGGCAAAGCAGATTCTGCAGCTTGTCCTGTAATCACATGAGATGAGTTCCTAGTTAACCAAGTCCTCAGCAATAAGTCTGATGCAACCTAGGACATCCATTTAAAAAGCCATATTAGTCTTGTAAAGAAGTCTTCTTTCAAAAGAATTAACTATTTGGCTGGTCTAGCTAAGAAAACAAATTTCATTTTTTTGTCACACGTATAAACCCTTACTCAGGGCTTTAAATGAATTAAATTGATTCCTTCCCCCATCTGAAACGTTGGCATGGAGAGGATCACATAACTGGGGAAGGCAATATGTGCCAGAGCCCCAGCTGATTTAGGAGATTGTTCCTGAATACTATTCAGTTTCTTAAATCATAGACTTTTATCTACTCTACTCTGCAGCCATCTTGTACTGGATGCAAGCATCTTTATTTGCCCTGCAAGTACAGCATTTGCCTGACCAACATTCCCCAGAAAAGCCCTCTTTTTCCAGCTGAAACACTTACCCAGGTGAAATCTGAGGACTTTGGACTAAGATCTCCAGATGCCTCTGAGCTTGGCTGGAGCAGCTGTTTGCTGCACATATGCTTGTCATTTGTGTGGCGCATATTCAGTAAGTTCAGTGTGTCAGATCTTCTGGGTGTGCTGCTCACAGTACGTGCACACATATCAGCGCAAATATTCAAAAGCTGCCAAAGTGCTCGCCTTAAGTTGAACTGCTTAATAGCTAGCTCCTGCCTGAGCTCCAGCAGATCCAAAAATGAAGCAGCATGGCACGGGTATCTCACAAAATACAGCACACCTTGTTTTCACACCCATCACCTCCGGGAGCCTCCTCCAATGGTTCTGTGATTAGCACACTGGACACCAAACTGGCTCAGATTTGTGCTAAAACTCGAGAAACATTAAGTTTCGGGAGGACATCTCTTGTTAGAGCTATCATCTCATCTCATTGGGGATGAGTTTCTGGAGCCAAGGAGCCAGCGCCAGGCCCCGAGGGAATGGCCTCAAGCTGCCCAGGGCAGGGTCAGGCTGGCTCTGAGGAAGGATTTCTGTGCAGAAGGGGCTGTTGGGCGTTGGAATGGGCTGCCCAGGGCAGGGGGGAGTCCCCGGGATCCCTGGAGGGGTTGAAGAGTCAGGCTGAGCCAGCGCTGAGGGATCTGGGGGAGTTGGGAACAGTCAGGGGGAGGGTCATGGTTGGGCTGGAGGAGCTTCAAGGGCTTTTCCAACCGAGATGATTCTGGGATTCTGTGCTACTGTGCACCAGAGGATGCCAGATTCCTGCAGACAGATAAAGAGCAGGTAGAGCTGGTTTCTGTAGCCTAATCCTTAGGGTAGTTCCTGGCCTTTGATCTGGTCTCTGCTCCTGTGTGTTACTTCTACTCTACCCCTTCTGTACTTTTCAGTACAGTTTTGGTGGATAAAAATCAGCTATAATCTTGGGGCAGGGACAAAGAGCATAGAATTCACCAGTCACTACTCCAGAGCACTAGTTCAGTTTTCGTCTCTTTGCTGGTTAAGTGAATCTTTTGTGTTGGTACAGCTGTTTCAGGGAGGAGAAGATAAAAGTCCGTAAAAGCCTACAGAAGAAGCTGGTGATTAGAGCATTTCTGAAGGTGCAATAGTTTTAACTCTGCCACGTAGACAACCTAGGCATCATATCTGGGAGGTGCTCCTACCACTCACGTTAGTCTACTGCCCTTCCTCGTTAGAAAGGGCGGTGGTGGCAGATGCAGCGCTGAGTGGAGATCCCGAGCTGGCGTGCGGGCATTACATCCCCACTGAGCAGATGCTGTAGATCAGCCTCCCAGCCCCGGCTCTGGAGCTTGGCTGGACTTTAGGCAGGTGCCTGGGGTTGCTCAGCTGCCTGTCAGGGCCTGGGATCTCCATGTCCTGGCAAGAGACAGAAATGTAGATCACTGAGGGCCTTGTCTGGTAGACAGCAAAGTAGGGGAGGGGGAAGATTCAGTGATTTAAGAACCCAGTGCCTAAATGCTGTAAACATTTTGGCGTACCCTGTCTTTTCTGGTATAAATATTCTACCATACCTTTCATCTATAGCATAGGCGATATAGAATATTTCCTGTACAAATTACTGCGTGTCTTGTCACAGAATCATCTAGGTTGGAAAAGATCTTGACGATCATCTAGCCCAACCATTAACCTCACGCTGACTGTTTTCAAAAGTACTTTTCAAAGTCCTTGTCCTTCTAATTATTGGTTCTAGGTGATCGTGCTATTCATATATATCAAATACATTCTCTAAACATATGTATATGCATGTAGAAGGATGCATACACCATGCAGATATATGTATTTGCATGTACATTAGTGCACACACGTGTATAGATATAATTGCACGTCCATTAGTTCAAACACACGTGCATGTGTACATATACAGCGATAACCGGGAGTTACTGATTTAGGTTGAATCTTTTATTACTCATCAGCGGTTGATGAGCGCAGACAGAACGCTGGGGATTTCCTCATGTGGAGACTCAGCTTTCCGACAACAGAAATTCCCTCCGCGTTGCCAAACACAATTTCCCTGGAAAGTGTCCTGCATTTTTCACCCCAGCAATCAATAACCTGTGGCCTGCTCCCATGGAACATGTAACCGTATTAGGGTTTTGTACTTCAGTTGCGTTTGTATCTCCATTGGATTTAAAGTTTACATGACCATGTGTAATATCCAAGCAAACACAAAAGCTAATGGTATAAGCCCCACCTGGCCAGATTCAGTATTCAATGCCTGTGTGAATAATGGCATTATTGTGTCAGGCAGAGTTTACAATGGAAATTCAGAGCAGCTACAGGTGGTTTGAAATCAAACAAAGAAAAGTCTGTTTACTCAGCGAGCTTACTAAAACATGGTTGCAATTCAGTATCAGCTGAGGATCGGTTCTTTTAGATAAGCAGCCATCTGTCACCCACTGTGTGCTTTCAGTAAATACGAGTGGGCAGGCTGTGTGCCTTGGGATTCTCCCTGGACGTCTGCTCTGCTCTTCTCTTGAGGTATGGCTTGGAGGTAGGCTGCAGTCTTGCCCCTGCTTTCCAGGGCTGTGAGAGGAGTCAGGAGGATGGGGACTCCCTGACTGAGTTGCATCAGTAGTGGAAA